ATATATATATATATATATATATATATATATATATATATATATATAGGACCCCTTAAATATTTTAGTTGTGACCACTAACATACAAGGTCAAAGGGAAGAAGTGGTTATGTTGGGTACTTCAGTTTCCTTGTTTCCTAGATGACCTGGGTTCGAAACCATCTTCAGCTTTATTAGTTAATTGAATACAACGTTATATACTTAATTGAATCCCTTAAAATTGAAAGTTCTAAATTGCAACTTATCACTCCATAAATAGAAAAATACAACAATCTTCTTCATCAATAACTTTGACTCCAACTCGACAATGGAAACTAAGAGTTTTAAGACATTTCTTTAGTTTTTTTAACTATCAACCCTTAATCTTGATTTCTTTAAAGTTTGAACGCCCTTTTGATCACTGACCCTTTATTTTATTTATTAAAGAACTAAAAATTTTAAAGTGCGAAACATGCTTGATCAAACATTTTCCCTTTCAATAGCACTCATTTTGCGAAGAAATCACCTTTTGTTCGGTGCTTTCTTTTCTTTAGAACTTCTTTTTGTTTGTACTTGAAAGATAAGTCATTATAATCATTAAGTTTTCAAAGAGTTGCACGCCGAATTTTATCACTAGTGATTAGCACACAGTTATGCCTCGTCGTACTCAAATCCTGGGTCCGCCTCTGCCTTTTGTTATTACTAAGGCGCTTCTTCTTTTTTGGCCTATTAAGGGGAAAAAATGGAAGAGGAAACTGAGTGGATAAAGGTTCTTATTTTGTCTAGATGCAATCGTGTGTGTGCTGAATCAGCTCTATAAACATCAAACACCCTCAAATTTCCTCTCAGCCACGAACTTATCTGTTGTGCTGGAACAAATATATCCTTTAAACTTAAATATCTTAGAAATTCCTTTATCCTTCAAAAAATGTAAAAAACGTTAAATTTGTGTTGCAACTTGAATGTGAAAAAAAAAAAAGGGTGAAAAATTCAATTGTTAAAAAGGGGCACATCCGGATGTGCCCGTTAAGAATTGCAACGTGCATTCTCAAGCATTTGACTAAAAAGAAAAAAGATTGTCAAAGATTAACGATTACTTTGTAAACGAAATGGTCACCAAAATTTGAGTACAGCTCACCTACTCCTTCCCAGAAAAACAAAAAAAAAAAAAAAAAAAAAAAAAAAAAAAAAAAAGAAGAAAGAAAAGTGACAAATCACTAACCGTCTAGAAAGTCTATAAAATATTTTTTTACATTTTGTGTTTTCGTTAAAGCTGCAGGCATATAAATTTTATTAGAATTAAATTTATTAAATAGTTTGGATTATATTTAAAATTCAAAATATATTGGCCCAAATAAATATTATAGGGTAATATAATTGAATTAATTATATAAGTCCAACACATATGGGTTAAATAAATAAGTCTTAATCCATTGGGCTAGCCCATTTAATTGGGCTAAAGTGATAAGCCCACTTCGTTAAACCCAAGATGCCATCCTCCTAGAGGCCCAGTTTGGTGCCACGTGTCAAA